AAAGGAAAAAAAAAAAAAAAAAAAAAAAAAAAAAACACAGCGAAGCTGTTTTTCAAAAGGAGATTGTTAAAAAGCGACGCTTAACAATACGGCTGGTTTGACCAAGCGTTTTGCGCAATTCCAGCAGGCCAACATTTTCTTTTAAAAACCTTCACTGTTTACACTTTGCGAAAATAGCCAATATGTTGCCTGGTTTCTAAGGTGCGAAATTTCCAACCAAAAATTTCACGTGATAGCATGTTAATTATAGGCTTATCCACGAACTGAATTTGTAGAATTGTGCATAAAATTTAGTTGGAATGTTTACTACCCCTGTGAAAGTCTTTAAACCTTTAAGCCTGAAAGTCTTTAAGTCTTTAAGCCTTTGTATGTGTCCCCACACTCGGATGCGTCAAATGTTCAGACTGTGACACTTTTTTCATCCTTCTCTTTGAGTAGTCAGACACCGAAGAAAGCAGAAACTTTACGAAAATGCTAACATATCTTGTGCATCGCTGAAAGCGCAAAATTAGCTTTTATAAGTGCCTAAGCTTCACGTATGGATATGGCAAATCTAAGATTGCTTTTGAAGACAACACCTTCATGCAAAATTCGCGATACGTACTGGAGCTAAGATTTCCTGCGATGCAACATTCCTGCCCCGGATGACGCTCTTTTCCCCTCGTGCTGGAAAGAACAAAACACTACCAATATGAGTGCACATGTTAAACTGTAAAACAACAACCATTATTGTCAATGATCTGACTGTTTCAAGTTTAGCGCAAAAATGTATTTATCGGAAGCCTAGTGCGCTTACTAGCTGGCTTATTTTGCAAAAAAAGACGTATATAAGTAGATGTATGCGCGGCAATACTTCATACTACTCGAACAATGACAATTACTTCCTGATAACTTTTGTGTAATATTTTTCAGTGAAACCAGTGATGCATTGCTCTGCCAGCTTTTCATCCCATAACGCAAAAGTAGAAGGAATACAATTTTTAACATAATTTTATACATATATATCTTTTTAATATTTTATGCATATATTTCTTTATACATATGTTTCTTTTTAATGTATATCGGAATTATTATGTTTCATTTTACGTCTGCTTTCGAGAACAAACCTAATTAGCACAGAGCGAAGGATAGTATCAGGGATTGTGCCATGTCGGAATCAATAGGAGTGTTTGCACTCATGAGTATGTCTGAATTTCGGCTTAAGGTCTTGCACCGTCCTCCTCATTCGACGGGGAGCGCTTATGACGAGAACTATGCTCCCCACAGTTGTAAATAAGGCTTATCGTCCGCTACTCTACATGCTCAAATCACCTTTCTTGTCCTATGTGGAAATGCCATGATATATTAAAAATACTGACTTACTCAAAAGAGTTAGATTTGTCCCTCGGTATTTGTCCTCCCTCCTCTCTCTCATTTGAATTCGCCTTTGCGTTTTTACCCTCTCGTTGCATAGCAGCCAGACTATGTCACCGCTACCGCTGAATCAGATTATATGATGGGGAAGCATAATCCTCTGGCAGTGGTTTTGCTGTATATAAAAGGTCTAACTACCGGTCTTTAGTTAAGAACAGGTCTGAAAGGCCTTTGCTTTATTTTATATCTGTGGATGGGACTGCTGGAAGAACGGCGTGTTACTAGAGTGAATGAAAACGAAAAAGCGTCTCATGCTTTCACCAAAAAGGATGCGAAGGGAAGAACTGGTCTAGTTTATTGGGTCACTCGATGCTACTCCATCAAGATGACGGCGTTTCTGATGTCCATTTTGACGACACAAATGCTATCGATGGTTGCCAAAGGCTCAGCAATCTTTTAATATAGTGCTTTTTACATAAATTTGGACTAAGAAATCGTCAGTAATGGTACCTCTTTGATAGAGCAATGACATTTTTCCGATCTAAACGAGTTATTCCGTCCATTTTTTGCTGCAGTTTGGTTTCCGGTCAAAAATATTCCCCAGAATTGCAATCTGTGAATTTCTATCAACCTGATTCACTGCATAATTCAAACATAGTGTCCTTTTTATAAAATTTGCTCTCTTTCCATCCATTTTTGCCGCTCGCCCCGGACTAAATCTTTTCTTTCTGCCCGGGCTGCGGCTTCCACATCACTCACACAATTTTGATCTTCTCAGTGGTTGTTAGAGGTAATTACCATTTTTCACTCCAATTTCCTCACACATTGTGCGGAAGTGTGAGTGTTTCGAGAATATTTGAAGCCGGAAATTCATTAGCTCTTCGAACCAATTTATTTCTAGTTCTCGCTTACAAATACACAGACACAGTAAAAAAGAAAAAATTTGAACAAGGCCATGTCGGTAGTCTTCAGTCGTAAAGAAAAAAGTTCATCCAAATTTTGAAATCTGTCCGAAAGATTTATAAATGGTTAAAGGAAAGGTGTACAATATCTAAAGACA